GAGAACCGTTGCTTGCTGTCCATCGCTCGTGTGTAGTAGCTGAACCATGTAACCAATACTAAAATCAGACAGCGTGTCTTGGGTGAGGCAGCTACTCCCTCGTGGCGCTTGTCTCGCTGCGCCAACTACGATGGCTGGGACACGAACTGCGTATGCCCGTTCAGCGTTTTCCGCGTCGTGCATTGTTCGCGGTCGTTGGACAGGGTTGGAAGAGGCGGTGTGGTGGACAAACTACAACTTAGAGAAGCAGGATGAAAAAGCTGACGAAACAGCTGGCCCCGGTTGGTTTCTCCCGACTCCCTGCACAGGGTCCCAAGGATGCTGAGCCCAGTTATTTGGAAACGTTGGAAGTCATGGCTCAAAACCGTACTCAATGGCGGACGTGTATCTCTGCTTGTTTCAGTGATTCCCATCGCATCTCCCAATAAAAGACCTCAAAAACACAAAAACTTTGAGCGGAAAAATGGACAAAAATTGCTGGTTTTCTTTCTTCTTTTACTCTAACCCGGGTTTCCTATTCCGCCATGATTCCGATGGCCCAATATATGTACACAGATTGTGATATATATATATATATATATATATCCGAAGACATCAAGCGTTTTCACAAATGATGACGTACATAAAAATAGTTTTGACACCGCGCCAGACACAGCTAACCAGGCAATGTTTCATTTTTCTAAATTAGATTAATTTGGTCATTCATTTTTGCATCTACCCCAGCACTTCCTCCGTGTACCAAAATGTGAGACATCACATACCTGAAGGTTAAAAATCTAATTCATCTACAAAAGGAATCTATCAATAGCTACTCGTAATCCACCCGACTTCTTGCCATCGATCAACTATTCTTCACAAATATTCATGAAAGGTTGGTTGATGAGAGATTCTCTCTCCAACAATGCTTTCTTCAATTTGCAGAGCTTTAGATTTCGGATCCTTCTACATGCTTCTCTTGTAATCCTCTCTTGATTAGGTGGAATACAATCTTGATTTTTGATATGATTACAATGAATGTAAGGAAATTTTATAACAGATTAAAGTATCGATTGCGTAATACTTTTGTAAAGATAATCAGAGGTATTTTGATCAACATGGCCAGCTACAAGGTTCCCAAAAGGTTTTGAAACAGCACTAGCACGGTATTTCAAACGGCTCCATCCAATGACAACGATCCGTTGTAGAAATTTCTTCCTAATCCCCTTCGCAAAAAGGACTAATTTCAACAATTCATAAGCATCAAACATTCCAGATCTGCTTTCGGAGGTACTTCATCGCAGCCCGTTCTCAAACAGCAGGCTTCGACATGTCTGGATAAGTACCAAACGGACGTCTCGACCTTCCGGGTCTCGTCAGTTGTGCGCCTTCCTCGGACCCCTGGGGGTTCCAAACCTATGACTTCCGGATGCCAGCAGCTTGCGCCACTAAGCCATGGGTGTAAGCTTCTGGCCTGCAGGACTGATTGTTCTACTTTTACGAATATTTTCATCTTGTTACGGATGCTTCTGAAAAAGCTCCTTTGAAACCTGCGCATCCCGATCAATTCGTGGTCGATGTACTGGTAAATTGTGTCATTCCTTGATCACGCCGATCTACGTGTGCCCTGATGCACCGAGAATAAATTTGCTAGTTTATCTACTGAGCTAATAGTCTTTGTTTATCATCGCAATTTATTCTTCTTTCTCATGTGTGAAGGACGAGAGTCTCTTTTTAAAGTTTTCAACCCTAGCACTGGTTGTTTTGTGAGAACCCTGCTTGCGGTTCCGAAAGACAGATATATTGCACGAAAGCTTTTATTTTGTACATTAAAAGATTTTGTGTTGTCCCAGCAACAGAACGACGATAAAAGCGGTGTTGTTGCCTTTGGGGAAGAAAAGGAGCAGCACACGAAGCCGTCGCGCGGTGGAGACTAACCAAAGCGTCAACAAAGGCGGTGCTCGGTTCAAACAATCGAACTCAACATGTAATTCAACATTCCGCACCAATCACTTAGGTGCACAATAAAATTGGAATTTTTATACAACGGACTCAGACAAACCGCGGAGATCTCCAGAATGCTACAGTTGTACCCATGGAAGAACAAAATAAGGCATCCACATTGTAGTACCATCTTAAAAAGTCAGCATAATATGGTGTTTCCAAATAACTGCTCACACACTTGTCGTCGTCACTGAACGTATGCGTAGAGTTGCCAAAGTTATGTACTGGGACTTCTGATAGAATGATCATAAAGGTATTCACATCTTGTCAGCATAAACATTGGACTGAACAACTACAATGATTAGTAAATTATTGCCTTCTTCTTATTGATAAACTGTTTCTTATTGGTTGGTTGCCTTCGCCAAAGGGATTTGTTTATAATTCCACTGAAACTAGCACTGCTGCATATTTACTGCCTTTCGAGAAGCTGGAAACCAGATTCAGTTTCTTCTCTGTCGTTCTCACACAACCCATCAAACAGCTCAAAAAGTTCACCAATCAAGCGAGGACCGCCTCGTTGGCTCGGTAGTGTACACAGCCATTTTCAATAACAGCAAGTCTGATTAAGCAGACCGCCTGATTCAGGCCTGATCAATCCAGCTGAGATGATTAGAATGGTTGAGGTATATCCATCAAAATTATTGACAAAACACTTTAATACACATGACTGCAACGTACCACATTTCGTTCCTTCTGTCTCATGAGAGCTCGCAGAACATACGGTTTTTAACTGACTAACGTTCCACTTGATGCATTCGACTGACGCTTAACTTTCTTCGACGTAATGTTAGCTACAGGACACATCAATAGCGTGTAGTCGTCCAACCTAATGACAAATTGAATTTCATCCTGTGTAAATATTTGGGGAGAGACAGCGGAAACAATAAACTGCCGCGGGATAAGTTTTCGCACGCCTTCGTCGGGGCTTTGCTTGTTAAAGCAAAACACCAGAGGCAATCGTTCTTACCTAGGCTTCAATTCAGTAAATGCGTCGTATTGCAACGAGAACGAGGAGGCAGGAACTCACAGCCTTTATTGCCAACAATCAACGAGTTATCCCTGGAGGCGTAACCACAAGCGTTTCTCTTCAGATAATCGGATTCTCCACCACTATATCCCCAGTTCTTCAAGTTATGCTACAGTATAACTACTGGGTTTAGCTTATTCGAGAAGACCTATTTTTAACGCTGGATCAAGCAGAGCATTTGCTCGATCTAGCTAAGCGCACCGGCTGGTTTCTGTCGCGTTTGTATCGCATTAACTGAACTCAAATATCTTGCAACCAAAATGGGGTAAGCACAGGAGTTTCAGTTTCGGGTTTAGAGTACGTGTCTATTGTTTGATTACGGTGCGCGACATCGATTTGGACTTCGGTTTATAATGGAGTGAACCTTATTTGTTTCGAGCCCTGGAACCGAAGGGGATTTTCTGTGCTACTCCCATCACAGAACTTCACTATGCTTTTCGTCTTTGTTTGGATCCACCACGTAGGGATAACCTGAGCTGGGGGTGGAACTCGGCAAATAGTGGTTGGTGGCTATCGCCACAATCACAAGGCCATTAATCGCTACCAATAGTGCTTGACAAAGCGGTTAGGAGTTGCTTTTCGGGTGCCTGCACAACCACAGTGTGTCTTGGATTGCTCCCCGCAATCTGTCGTAGTCACGATGGATTTTGTAATCCGCCTCTGCCGTTATGGCTTTCCGTGAATCAAAAACAAAGGCTGGGCCTTGATTAACATTCTACGGTGTTTTAAAAAGCACATGCTCCTTTTATAACTCACATCAGTTAGAGCCACTCACCAATTGGCGCATTTCGTCCCGTCGCTACTTTAGCTGCACCCACTTGAGTTCTGTACTCGTCAATCCAAATCAATTATGCACTTGATGTCATCGATTCGGGGCCATCGATACAAGAAAACAATAGGTCGGACTGGGTTCATTGCTATTCGCTCACCGGCTATCACCACAGCTTTTGCCATTCCGATCCCTGGGATCATAGTTCAAGTGGGGGCTTTTTGTGCTGCTCCCTCCCATCATAGCACTCCACCTGTTTCGTCCTTGTTTGCACTCAATGGGTATTAATAGCCTGAGTTGGGAGTGGAATTTAAATGGTACTGGCCTAGTGCTCAAGGCGTCAGTCGTGCACAGCTGCGACTCGAGTTCGGCTCACAGCTTCAGTTGTCTCTACCTAATGGCTGTACATAGAAGAGGGTGGCGGAGTGTAAGACTGAGCAACACAGAAAAGTTCAGTGGTATTTCTCCTTACCATTTCCTTTATACTTCTCCTCCGGTGCACTCCGTTTCAACGTCCTCTGATAACAAGGAGTTGTTGATTTGTTTTAAATTGTAGTCATTACAAATGGCGCCAAGAATGGGGAAGAGAGTTGCGTTGCTTCCCGACAGCAGCAACCAACGATCACGTGGTCTCACATTTGATTGGATACCCTTCAAACCTGTTTGGCGGGGTCATTTTAATTCACTCTCATGTTAACCAGTCGCATGAAGACCAGCTGTTATCTCGTTATTACTAAGTATCGTGTTCTGTTTAATGATATGGCCACAATCGAATTTCTGAGTGGTGAGACATCGTTAATGGGGTTGTTGATTGACTACCGTTTTGCTAGTGCCCCGTTTCATCGGGAATATCTTAGCAGGTGGGATTCGCTTCATTTACTAACTCGGTAGTAAAACCTACAATATAACTGCAGTATCATGGAAACCAAGCATAATAGTTGCGTTATCCCAAGTGGTCAGTTAATTTCTGTTGTGAGCCCACAGTTGAAAAAGTATATCTATCGAATAGGTAAATTACTGTAATCAGTAATCTGTAAATTTGCGATAGAACATAATTAGTTGACAAATCTGAAAAGTGTTAGTGTGGGCAAGTGAGACAACCAATGTCAGTGACTTCAAATGGCGCCTTTGTTCCAAACGCTGATACTTTAACAAGCACAGGGAGGATGTTGAGAGTATTCAGTTAGATCCAGAAGTATTTCCAGTAGTTTAGTCATGTCGGCATCAATCTGATATGCTGGTCAATCCGATTAAGGCAACCAGGATGGCTACCACATCCACGTAGAGCTGGAGAGTGCCAAAGATGTAATCCTCCTCCCCAATTTCATATTTTCGACCTCCGATCACTTGTTGTGTGTCGTAAACCAGTAACTATGAATAGTAAAATTGTATAAAGTGGAACAATTAGTAAAAGTTGCATTGAAGGACGTTCAGCATATAAATGGTAATTGTCAATCTAAATTAGAACCTCCACAGATAAAGTGCATAAAAACACTGTAAACTTTGGAAGGAAACATCCATTATAATTTTATCCATCACGTGGAGGACCGAGAATATATTTATACAAACTTTACTTACGATACTAAAAAGAACAAGAACGAGCCCCGCGTAGACGGCTTGTAGGACCTGATGAGCGCAGAAAAACACAAAGGGCATGCAGAAATAATGTGGTAAGAGACTATCCGATGGTACATAGAATGCATCAAGATATCCAGTACAATGGTCATCGTTGTCATCAAATCCGAATCAAAAATATAGACAGCTTAAGTATAAAACACAGAAGGCGCAGGTTATGAGCTAACTTCGCCATACCAATCACAAGCATGTAACCATGGTATATAGATCGAAACACTGTCCTATGGTATCGAGGATAGTCAGGCCCATGAGTTACTATGGCAGGTTTAGATACGCAGTTAGTTGTATTTTTTGTTGCACAGCGGTGGGCATTCGTCATCGATACGATGACCTCCAGTGACCTAAGCATGTGGGGCCGCTGATCGCGCATTAGGACAATGAACGACGGTGAACTCATCAGGGCTGACTGGGAAGCGGATGATCAGTGTGCCTTGTGACTGCTGAGGCAACTCTGTTTCCCGATTCCGTCGTCACAGATACCAAGTAACTGCGTAACCACCGGGGATTGCGTTCATTGATTCTGGCCGCTTAATATCCATAGTGCGTCCAATTTATCTGTTTCCACAGTTAAACGGGAATTTGTAGAAACAGCTGGAAGAACACTGCTTCGCCGTCGGTATCTTGATCAAGTGCATGAGCATAAGTCCCGTCGAATTGAGCAGCCACAGGCGCTTGATCATTTACAATCTTTTATGACACCATTTTGGTTAATCTATCATGTTGCAGGTTGTGATTGGCAGTAATGCAGGAAGTGGCGATGTCATTTCATGAATTATGTGTTATAACATTTTGTTCGGAATTACGCAAGGCACTTCTCTTTTCAATTATACGTAAGAGGAAGGAAAAACCGTTCCCTAGCTTTTCCATCATGTTCAAAGTAGACTAACCCACATCACTCTTACTGCGGAGGCTGTATTGCAAAAGGTGACTTCTCTACGTAAACACAGCTCGCTGGGTGTCGACACCATTCGTCCAGAGGCATTGGAAGCAGCAACAAACCAACTGGCAGGAGATTTAGCTCAGTTTTTTCAGCACTGCTTAGACCAGAATCAATTTCCCTCCATGTGAAAGCTTGGAATAAAAACCCTGCTTTACAACGGTGAAAGCAGAACTGATCACTCCAACTACCGCCCAACATCCCTGCTTCCTATACTCTCCAAGGTCATGGAATCGATAAGTGTCGATGCACCGGTGTGCTATCCGGAAAACGGCAACATCATCACTCCTGAGCAGCACGGTTTCCATTGACAGCGGTCATGTACGACTAATTTACTAATTGCACGCAGTAGTTGGACCGAGGCCGCTGACGCTGGAGAAGGTGTTGATGTGATCTACCTGGATTTTTCCAAGACTTTCGATCCTCTAGACCGTCGGATACTACTATCCAAGCTGAAGCATTACGGGATCAGCGACCCCCTCTTAAGCTAGATCGTCAACTTTCTACTTCAACGGCAATTAGTGGTCAGAGTTCGGAGCTCTTTATCGAACCCCATACAAGTTGAGTGTGGTGTGCCGCAAGGCTCAGTTCTAGGTCCACGTTTGTTTTTGGTGTTTATTAATGACCTTGCACAGAGAATCGCTTCAAACTTCCTAGTGTTTGCCGACGACATCAAGATCTGGCACAGGATCCAGGTGAATGCCGACCAACATGTGCTTCACAGTGACCTAGATACAGTGTATCAATGGTCGACCCAAAACCTACTGCATTTCAACGTCAGTAAATGCAAGGTGCTTTCCATTCGACATCAGGGCAGCTACTCATACCGGCTCGGAACGAATATACTACAACAATCAACTCTCGAACGTGACTTCGGTGTCCTGGTTCAAAATGGCTTGGGTTGCTCCAGGCAATCCGAAAAAGCCTGGAAGACCGGGAACCAACACGTCGGAGTTGTTGCGACGGGCGTTTGGACAAATAAACAGTTCCATATTTCGACAAATGCTCAGTGCGTATGTTCGCCCCCATGTTGAATACGAAATTCAAGCCTGGCATCCATGACTAAAACACGACCTTAATGCACTGGAGCAGCCACAACGTCGGGCATCTAAGAACCTAATTGAAATGCGCAATCTTTCCTACCAGGAGAGGCTGCAACGATTAGGGGTGTTCAGTGGAAGCTATCGCAGACTACGAGGCGACCTGATTATGGCATACTTGATTCTGCGAGACCCACATCATGTGTGCCGCCCTTTACTGCAACTCAGCAGCAATACAAACCTGAGGGGCCACTCATTAAAACTCGCAGAATAATACAGTCGTTTGGAGTGCCGCAGAAATTTCTTTTCCATTCATGTCTGTCACCCGTGGAATGCTCTCCCAGAATCGGTCGTCTCTGCACCAACACTAACAGTATTTAAAAGACGGTTGGATGATGCACTCATCCACTTACACTTTGTTACCTAACACTACGTCTCTATCCTATACCTGGAGTTTACCATGGAATTATTTGTTGTTGACTGTGGGTGCTGTGAATCTAAGAGGATCGCAGGACTACAGCGGAGCAAGCGACGAGTCCTCGTTTGCATATCTAAATTAGTAACTATTTTACTATCCTTATCATCATTATCGTTATGTTGATATCCCCACAAACTATGTGACGGGACTTGTAAAGCAAAGCTTCTTAACCCGGATAAATTCATTGTTCATGGTTCATTGTACCAGAATATCCTGTGCAAATGGTCATCTTCTGCGTTGCTAAAGTGTACCCGCGTCATTTGCATTCCATTACTTTTCATTTTGGTGATAAAAATCGCCTGACCTGACTCCGTCCTCCCTTTCTTCTCTGGAGTGGAAGTTATTTTTGTTAGACGACCTACTGATCACCCTGCAAGTCCCAGACAATGTGTCGCTCTTTAAAGTGCGCCAAACCTTTGTACAGCCGCTTTTGGACGGACTGACAGATAGCGCCGCATTTTTCCACATGTGCCTTTCACCTTCAAGTTGCAAGGCACACTTCCAGTGGGCGGGTCTCCCATGTGCTGATCACGTCTTCAGCCGAGCTATAGTCGTATGAGATGTCAACTGTGACTGTTCGAGTGAGATTCTACAACTGAATATTTCACTCACTGCTGAGTGTTGTATTGCTCTACTGACTGCAGCTCTTGCCGAATTCCCTGGGAAATTGCAGTTAGTTATGACACCAAACACTGTACACCTCTTTGTCGCCGTCGGTCAACACAAACCGTGTGCCACAGTTAACACAAGTTTGTCCCAAACAGGCGATTGAAAAACTGGTGCCCTGCTGACTGGCCATGGCGTAACCTATGGCCATTCCATTCCATAGCGACGTTTGTCCTTTTGAACAAACTGTCGCTTGTCCCCGCAAAGTTGAACTAGTCGTAATCTTGAAAGGCAATCGCTGTTAAATTGGTTCACATTCTGTCATGAGGATACCGTTATACCAGCACATAATTTGAATGAAATAGTGTGATCATCCTGTTCAGAATCCCGAATAATTTTGCACATGTTCAGGTTCAGGAATCTATGCTTCAGTCGTCTGAGCAGCTGTTTCATTGCCAATTACTTCCACAAATCGCTTCCCAAGATGTTCCCTTAATCCGGCAGTCATTGCAACCGGCCTTTGCAGATAAGTAGAGGAATAACCGTCTTGGAGACCGAACTTAAATTTGCGATGCAGTTGTAATGGTAATTGTTAGTTTAGCTGAACGGAGTCGTCATCAACGTGAGCTAGCGATAAGTACACAGGTCGGATGGGAAGGATAAAAGTGCGCAGTATAAAATAAAAGAGTTCCTCGTGGCTACAGAGAGGATGGAGTGGGTTGGGCTACAGACCACAGTGCTCGAATGAAATGCGCCCACCGATGGGCCCATGGTGCCGGTATGACGCGCGGTATCAGCTGGTCTACTGATCGAACAGAACCAGCGCGGGACATTAGAATAAAAAGCCACAAAGTTCCCGTAGGGCAAACTGCTCGAACACGAAGCCCCTTAGATCTAAGGTGTGTGGTAGAACTAAAGTTTTCTTAGTCCTATCAAAATCCTCGTGATTTTCAATGGCAGGTGTTATGGCGCTTTCTTTGTAACAAAGTAAAAGACAATGTTCCTGTTTCAATGGACGGTGTTCAAGCCAAAATATTGGGGCTGCGTCAAACATGTACCGTCCATGTGAACTAAGCTCAACTGCATACACTGCAGGACTGGCGAGACCAAGTGTGAACTAAGCCCAGTGTGGCTTCATGCAGCGTGGCATGTGTGGACAGTACACTAGAACGGACGGTTTAGGACAGCAAATCATCAACATCCACAGAACAATAAGCACACTGAAATGATAAGTCAAAAGTATGTGCCACATGAATGGTCCTGTCGTTCACGAACAGTATATTTGCGATGAATGCTCAGATCCGGCTTTCCCGCTTGGGGAGCTGCATGAAAGCATTCCTGTTGTGGCGTCTATTTCGGGTATTTTGGTTTCCATTAAAACTTTGCTAGCTCCCGGATTATACACAGTTCTAATGGTACTGAATCCACATTAGATCTTTCTCAGGTTGGTCATTGAGTCCAATCTATCTGACACACCTGCTGTTGAATAAAGTAGCAAATTGCGGCTTTCATGTTGTTACGATGTGGCATAAACCCACCGAATTCTTCATATAATAGGATGTGATCTCTAATGTTTTATACTTCCTTCGTGGTCGAGTTGGAAGCAACGAAGCATCACTTGGGTGCTGTTTCCAAAGGAGCCTCATCAGCTCTTTTACTGCAGCTATGTTACGCACCAGTTTCTTGCTTCTTTCAGCCTTGCATTTCATAGCAATGCCGAAAAAGTCCGGAGATATTATCCCAGTTTTATCCCACTATCTACATCCAACTGGTGTTTTCACTCCTAGCTTAAGTTTCGGCAACATTTGCGGGTTGCTTCATGGAGATAGTGCTAATGAGCATGTGAAAGTCAGTAGTAAAATTATCTGTAACTTTGGCAAAATCGCTCACGAGGAGTCAGACACACAAGTTCACTAGGTCCGATGTACAA